GGCTGGTTGCGTGTTGGCGCTGAGAGGTTGGCGCAGTTTGGATTTGCATGCCTTGCGTTTGGCTTTGGTGGCGGTGGCACGTTCGCATCACAAATCGCTAGACCCGTCTTCACTGTCTTCTCCAGGCCGATCGGTCTCAGGCGAGATCTTCCTAGTTGGTCGAATTGATCTGCAGACGCTTCAAAGAAGTCTTCAGCATGTCCTTGTAGCGACGGATTTGACCTCCATGGTGGCGGGAAGCCGTGGCGACATCTCCGTTGAAGAATCGTTTGGATAGTCGCTCGTTGTTCATCCTCACGAGGTGGCCGCTTTAATGCAGTTGCAGCTGTCCAGCATGGCGTAAATGTTGATGATTCCTGTTTGCTCCAGTACATCCGTGTCCGGGATCCGGCCCTCCCATCTCAGCTTCAGTATCTGTCGAAAACATCCGGGGTGAAAGGGGTTGAATCTTCGCGCCTGCATCTTGTACAGTATCCGGGTCCCCGCTCCGTACGGCGGCAACGGCAGGATGAATGTCTTGTAAATCTTCAGTCGGAGTTGATGTGAAGACCGTGGTGATTCCAGACTGTGCCTTGCAGACGGCTGAAGGCCTGGTTGACACTTCATGGTCAATCTTAGTGGTGCAGGAGACGGCGCTGCCTGGGAAGGTGAGGTTGTCCACAACTTGGAGTTAGATGCGGTTCACGTTGATTTTGGGTGCGACATAGACAGCGTCGGGTGGCGGTTGATGCATAACCACTGTTCTGTCCGTGTTGATGACCAGGCCGAAGTTGTCGTAGTCGGCGTTGAAGAGGTCCGTGCTCCTTTGCATGTCCCCTTGCTAAGTGACGTTGAGGGCGCATTTGTCGGCGTTGAGAAGTTCATGAACGATCGATGTGGATACACGCGACTGGAGGTGCATCCGCCGGTGGTTCAGATCCCTTGCGTTCTTCGCGGTAGGGATCCATCAGCATGGGAGAGAACATGAGACTGAAGAGGGTAGGCGCGAGGACACAGCCCTGCGGTTGCATTAACATCCGAAGAACTTCAGCAAAACAGTCTTCATCAAACACAGGGGAGGCGCGCTATGATAAGATGCAGGACCAACGCTGCAAACGTAGCTACCTTTGATTAATGAAGCAATGGCTTGCGTGAAGTCCTGATCCACACACCCAAGACCTTACGGGTGCCCACCTTTTTTCGATCATTTTGTGTTACGTTGATATGGGCTACGAAGTAAGCTCCAACTGTTGTTGCTGAGGATTTTACACGATTGACAGGTCAGCCTGTGCGGGTATAACCTCCCATCTCCCAGGACAATTGGATGTTACAATGGCTTTTCATAGAGGTCTTAAAAAGGTCCGCAGTGTCGCTCTTGCTCACCTTGCCTGTTGGCACAATTGCGACAGTCATTTGAACTGACGCATGCGACTCATTCTCACGACTTTGTCACTCCATAACAGTTGCATTCGTTCCAGCATAACATGCAAGATGACATTTTCCGGCCCTTTACTCCCACTTTAAATTTAAAACTTTTCAGAGACGCCCGGGTTGAAATTGGCTTTGTTTACCTAGTCGGAGTGTGCTCACTGCTCACGTCTCCACATAGCAAATGAGCAGTGTCTAGAGGACAGCCTTATAGTTCTCCGTTTTTCATTGAGCAAAATGCCACGGCGATCGCGGATTAAGCATTTCAATCAAATAAATTAGCAATGGCCGTTCATAGAATCCTGCGGGATTTTCCCTTGTAAAGCCTCGTGGAGCATCGTCTTCGGCTTCCCCAAAAATTCAATGCTATTATATTTGTGGATAAAGTCGGAATGTGTCGACCACAGATTTTCTCGCACACACTGATTGTACTTCTCTGAATATTTCATAAAACTATAGACGTCCTCCAGGCACCGGCATAAAATAAAGTAATCTTCCAAAATACCCTTTTAAATTGCATGCAGTTCATTGGCGAGTGCGTCACGGTAGAGCTATATCGTGTGACCTGAGCAGCAACACATAGCGTTTGGTTTTAATACACCTCATAGGATACCGATCTCTGGTCTAAAGAAGTCGAAAGAAAGGAGCACAGAGAGAAAACGTCCATATCAAATATGAATGTGTCATAAGTAGATAAGTCTTCTACATGTTTATCCTCCGTATATAAATTAGTTCGGCTGTGATGAATAAAAACGTTATATTTTACTGAATCTAACTAAATGAACAAGAGTACATAGAGAAAGCGAGGCAAATGTTGGATAAAGAAGCCAAATGTGCACCCAACGTTGGAAGAACCTAACCATTAAATTGAGAACTAGAAAAAATGGGCTTAGGGCAATGAAAAACAACGAAGTGATTAGGAATGGTGGCTATAGCAACTACTGAAAAATAAAAGCAAACAAGAAGGACTGACTGGATAGCAAACACAAACAGACAGACAGAAAAAAAATGACGGACAACCGAAAGCAGGGTACTCTGTTCGTCTCTCTAAAACAGAGGTAAAGGAGACCAAGAGGCCAATATGCAGTGAACATTTACAAAATTGAGAAAATGATGCATGGTATTGTAACATGAAGCTAAAGAAATCTAGTGGTCAAACACTACTTTAAGGTTCATCCTTCTAAGCATGTTCTGTATTTCCCAGGACGTCGGTCCTAAGATTTCGGTCTGGACGTATTAGTTTTGACCTTTGTTACTTTATAAATCTGACACACACAGGTGCCATAACTACCTCTTTTTCTGGACAATTTTCATGGCCGATACCCAGTCATTTAACACGACTTGCGTCAACGGTCTTCACAATCCCTTCGAGAAAAATTGAAAACAAAAAAGCTTAACTCATCTTGATTATCATCATTATAATAAGTCGTCTACCTGGCTTGACTACTGGAAATTTGCTTTATTGTTTGTTTGAACTTGCCTAGTCGCGCCCCCTTTGACTGGCCCGGGATTGTCTTGAAATGGACCAGTGGTTCCACAGGAATCCATATAAGGCTACAGGGCGTCCTATATTCGACTTAGGGCCAATATCTACAACGAGTTCTGCACGGACCCTCTGCAGGTCATAAACGCATTCTTATATCTAAAGTACTTCTGAACCTGCATTGCCTTTATAGTCCACATGGACTATATATATTTATATTTTTATGCTTGAAGATAATAAGTTCTTTAGAAGGAGTAGGAGCTTTATTAGTAGATTTTCGATGTAGGTTTCCCGTGTCGTCAGACTCGAATAAATGTACAGAAAGCAGTCAAAATTTCAAACGTGCCTTATAGTCGATACCTTTCCGGCAATTATGCCATGTACAAAAATCTCAGGAAGGGGTGGAAGAGACGAGAACCAAATGGATACATAATAAACTATGCGGATGACGCCTACTGGCGGAAATGCCGGCCAGAGAGGTATCTCTCCGCATAGCTTATTATGTATCCATTGGTTCTCGTCTCTTCCACCCCTTCCTGAGATTTTTGTACATGGCATAATTGCCGGAAAGGTATCGACTATAAGGCACGTTTGAAATTTTGACTGCTTTCTGTACATTTATTCGAGTCTATCGACGACACAAAAACCGAAGTCGAAGATTTACTAACAAAGTTCTTACTTTTATCAAAGAAATATAATCTGAAGATAGTAGGTTAACCTACTATCTTCAGATTATATTTCTTGGGATGCCTGTCTTTCAATATATATATATATATATATATATATATATATATATATATATATATATATATATATATATATGGACAGGCAACACGTACAATGTCTGTAGAAAACCGAATATCGAGCCGACTGATATGTGACTAATCACGGAAAGCTTGCTTATAGTCACCGAACGCATGCCACTGCCGCTGATAACCCTCATTCGATTTTTTTCTTTTTCAAATTCACAATAAACGTGTCGTGAATGTGTATCGCGATGCAGGCGTTTCCTGGTTGCTTAAGTCCTTTTGTTTTTTTATACCGGTTTGTCCTGTTGTTTTTTTACATTTAGATGTGCTCATGGCTTTATATTTTTTCAAATACGTACTGTTTGTAGTCATGCAGCCGACAAACGTCAGCGGCTCCTGGACATGTTCTCCGACCCAAACCTTTCTGCCGAAACGTTAAT